GGGGGGGGGGGGGGGGGGGGGGGGGGGGGGGGGGGGGGGGGGGGGGGGGGGATATGGGGCTAATCGTGGGTGGCGTTGTTCTCTCTAGTATTAGTGGTTCGTGTATGGGTCCCCAAGCGAGGAACAAAAATATAGCACGCGGACGGGTCCCATCGTCTCAAGCCGACTAGGCAACTTTACGGGTCATTGTGGTGCACGGAGGTGGGTTGCTGCATGCTACACACACCCTGTTGCTGCAAAGTTAATCAGCAACGCCTGCCGTGACCGCCGCGGTGCTAAGTCACGCCGCCCTCTTTGTCCCCCCCTCACGTGTATCGCTTGGCCTGAAGGCGGCGCTCCTGCTCGGCGTGCTCGGCGTGAAGCCGCCGGACGAAGTCCTCTTTGGTGGTCTCCTGGATGGGCCACGCCGCGCTCACGCCGATGTCGGGGGTGAAAGGGCAAGACTGCGAGAGAAGCTCCTGCGGCCGAAGCAGGACAACAAGTTTTTCGAAAGAGAAGAGAAAAGAAAATCGGGCAAAATACAAACGCGTTTTTTACCTTTTGTTTTTTGTCGTCGAACAAGCAAGCGAGAAACCGAAGCACAAACAAAATCCAATAGGTGAGTCTTATCGCGAGTTTCACCAACGGCAACGCGTGCCGTTCTTCTTTTGCCGGTGCGCGCAGGAGGGGCGCGGGGAGATTGGTTTTTCACGTTCGTTCCTCATTTTCACAAGACTGCTGCCTGGCCGGGCAATGTACGCTCCGGTTGCTCTGTGCCCTTTCCGCCACCAGGCCTCGAAGGGCACATTCCCCGTGACAGAGAAAACGCCTACTTGGTACGTCACAACAACTAAAAGCTGGGGTCCGCCGTTCACCAGGGTACTTCTACGGCATCGGTGGGATCAAACCACCACCTGCCTTTCTTGCCGCACACTCCCACCTTCGTAACAACACGCGCACGTCCCAGCAACTATTGTCCAGTCGCCCCCCCGAGCCTCGGCTATCGGAGAGGAGTGATGTGCTATCGGAGTGGTGGGTAACTTATCGCCCTTTCTGCCTGCAGTTAGCGGGACACGGCAGCCTTACGAACCACAACATACCACCCAAAACTACACAAAAAGACTTCGTTGCCCACGGGGTTCAGATGTCCTATATTTTGCGCTGTCCGCCGTGCCCCTGGCGACAACCCATCCGAGCGGCTCTACGACCCTCGATCGATCGACCAATCCCTTCTGCCTACCTTCCGCCTCCTCTCCCTGCGCTGCTCGATGTCGGCGTGATCGGCGTGCAGCCGGTACGACTTGACCATGATCTTTGACCTTGCCGCCCCCGCCCCCCCGCCCCCCCTTGTCGCCGCCGGTGTGTCCTTTCTCTCGCTCCCCCCCTTCCCTCCGCCGCCGCCGCCGCCGCCGCTACCGTCGCTCTCGGAGCCGGCTCTGACGAAGTCGAGAAGGTCTCGGCGTGCCTCCCGAGCCTCGGCTAGCCGTCGTGAGAGCTCGTTTATCTCCGGCGCGAACGTGCAGGTCGCCTGATCAATAGCAGTAGGTCAATCGACGGAGGCGGTCATAGAAATCATGGGATTGGGGAAGAGAGAGGAAGAGAGGGGCGGCGGCACGACATTTTCGGCTCCAAGCATGGACGGGTGAAGGAAGTGAATCAATCACCAACGACGCGCAAGGTTACGCGAGGGAGAAGGCACCGGAGCGGGCTATGGGGGTAGACGTGCAGCTACAATCGGACTGTTTGGGTTGTTTGGCAGCTAGTTGTTTTCTGGCTACTGGGTGTACGCTTTTCCTTCGCTGTTGGAGGCAACATGGCCACAAATACAATAACAATGGCAACAACAACAACAACAACAACAACAACAACAACAACAACAACAACAACAACAACAACAACAACAACAACAACAACAACCACGACACAATATCACAGTAACACCAATAGCAATAAGGATGGCTTCCACAACATCTCACCCTGGTGTCCGCTTGGAGGATCTGCTTCGCTCTTCTCCGACTTGGCGTGGGTGGATTGCGGTACAGGTTGTCGAACAGCAACTGCTCCGGGAGGAGGGAACAAAAAGAGAGTTGACGAGAAACCCAGGGCACGAACCCATTTGATACTACAAGCCAGCAGAGCTTTTATCGAATTTTGCCACGTCAGCGGGGTTACGGTGCCCCCGAGTTTCAGCGTTTGGAGATGGCGTAGCGATACAGGAATACAAGCGCAGAGTTGGGCGGCTTGCCACAGTCATGCGCATTTATTCCGAGATAACTCAGCCCGCAGCGGTGATGACGTTCGAACCACACCAACACAACGAATGCTGCTTCCGATTATATCTGTGTGCCAACAATAGAAGCATCTTCTTTATTTAAGCGAACAATTTCCGGTTGTAGTGCTGAAAGGACACCGGAAGCAGCAGCAGCTGCTGCTGATGCTGCAGGTGCTTCGCTTCTTGTGTGATGCTGCGGCCTCGGCGTTGTAGCCCGATCATCTACCTCCGAACAAGATGAATGGATCCGCAACATGCATTCATACACGGCACGGCACGGCACGGCACGGCACATCAATGGGCACCTTTGAAGAGTGAAGGAAGGACCCACCGGTACACGCGTTGTGTATGCGCTTGATTGACTATCCTAACGCCCGTTCCGCGACCAAAAGCAAGCTACCTAACGCTCGTAACCTTGTNGCATGCACGACTATGAGTACACCCCCCCCCCCCCCCCCCCCCCCCCCCCCTCTCCCTCACGTCCGACGGTGTCGGCCTTGTTTGGGGTACTTGGATGCAAGATCCGATCTAGAGAGAATATGTGAGCGGGAGGTATGCTGTTGGGAGTCCAAGTGCGGGACCCCTCGAGAGAGAACCCGCACATGCCATGTGTTCAGTCTATGTTGTATGTTCTGGGTCTGCAAGAGATACTACTGTGTATATTGTGCTGAAAGGAGCACTGTGTCTGATAATCAAGGTTCTACTCATCTGCATCTGTCCCTGGGTTATCATAGTCCCCAGATCAACTTTTATTACCGTGGGTGGGCACGGTAGTGCCTATGGGAAGGCACGGGGGCCTCTAACAGACCATGACACGGACGCCGATCGTACGCACTTGTTTAGCCCTTCCAAATACCCCAGCCTGCTATCATGACTCAGTGCTTCTGTCCCTGTCTCTGTCCCTCTCCCCCCCCCCCCCCCCCCCCCCCCCCCCCCCCCCCCCCCCCCCCNCCCCCCCCCCCCCCCCGCTGCTTGTTTCTCTTTCCCTGCCGCGGGCTACAACCCATCTCTCACCTCGCCCTTCGGCCTGGCACGGACAACGCCGTGGTCCAAGGGCCTAGCCACCGGCGTGGGCCTAAACATCTCCGGTCTCCGCCTTCCGCAGCGACGCACCCCGTCCTCCCCTACCCTCCTCGAGTCACTACTACCGCCGCCACCATACCTCCTGCGACTTTCGGGACCCCGTTGATCGCCCGTCGCCCCCCCGGGTTTCACGGCCGTCGAACGTGTTGCGGTAGCAGCGGCGGCGGCGACCGCGGCGGCCGCGGAGGCGGTAGCGGCTACTCTCCCTAGCGCTTCGGGACTCTCGCGGCACCAGGTGTCCGGCCGAAGGTCTTGCGCGGCGACCGCTAGCCCCGTGAACGTCTGGCAAGTGTCGTCTTGCGCCCTGCCGTTTGGATGTTGTTTTGTTTTTTCACGTGCCGACGGTTTCGAGCTGTGTGTCGGTTCAGTGGGGTTACGTCGCTCCCTCGTCCGCCGCGCGCATGTTGAATAGAATACTTTTTCACAGGAGGAGGGTATACGGTTGCTCTCGTATGCGCCAATAAGTTGTTCATCCATCTGTCACCGTGTTAGAGTTTATTGCTCCCTCTAGGGGTAAGCTGCTGGGTGCTCTTCCTCTCTCTGAAGCACGCAGATAATCTTTGCATTGCCTCTTCTTGGGTAGCCTCTTTTCGCGATCGGGCCGTGAGGAGCGCTGGTGGTTCTCGCATTGTTTGCGCTGCATCATTGCAGCACTCCTGAAGGTAGATGATTATCTCACTTTTCGTAGTTTTCACGAGCGAGCATGTCAACAAAACGACAATCATCCCGCCAGAAACCCGTGCTTTTGCCGCTGCACTACGGTCGCCTTGTAGCCAACACACGGCACCCCAACCCTCACACATTTTCTCCGGCGTCTCACCGATTGCCCGCCCCGCATTCGGGGCAAGTCCAGCCCTCCGGAGAGGCGTCCTCTCGCTCCGCCGCCGCCGATTTCGCCTTCGCCAG